GTGTCCTGCAGAGTTTAGCTCCAGCTTGCCTCAACACACCTGCCGGGAAGTTTCTAGTATGCCTAGTAAGACCTTGATTAGCTGGATCAGGTGTGTTTAATTAGGGTTGGAGCTAAACTCTGCAGGACACCGGCCCTCCAGGACCGAGTTTGGGCACCCCTGACATAAAAGGTTAGTTCACCCAAAAATGAAAATTAGACTATGTTTTACTCACCCTCGAGGCATCCTAGGTGTATATGACTTTCTTCTTTCAGACGAATCCAGTTGGAGTTATATTAAAAATGGTCCTGGCTATTCCAAGCGTTATCATTGCAGTCAGCGGGTGTTGCAGTTGAACAGTCCACAAGTCGTCAAATAAAGTGCGCATTCATAATAAACGTGCCTCACACCGCTCTGGGGGGTGAATAAAGGCCTCCTGTAGGGAATCCATGTGTTTTTGTAAGAAAAATATCCATATTTCAAATGTAATAAACACTTTTCTCTCACTTCCGGTATCCGTCATACGTGGAAGGCAATCCGGTGGATGACAGAGCACGTATGCAGAGCGCGTGCCTCTGAGATATCTAGTCTCACGAGTTTGTTTGTAGGAGCAGAGGAAGTAAAGTTTCTTTACTTTAGCAATGGAAAACCAGTCTCCTCTTGGTTTATATCGAAATCCTCTGACATTTTTTTTTACAAATCCTTGGTTTGTACTTCTAATTCATGACCGCCGTTTTGTTTTGTTCTCTCTCCGCGTTCGTCACTAATCACGCAACGCCACGTGTCTTGCGTCATCCGCCGGATCGCCTTCCGCGTATGACAGATAATAGAAGTGAAAGAAAAGTGTTTATTACGTTTGATTATTCACCACCCCCCCGGAGTGGTGTGAGGCACGTTTATTATGAATGCGCGCGCTTTATTTGACAACGTGTGGACTGTTCAACCGCAACACCCGCTGACTGCAATGATAACGCTTGGAATAGCCAGGACCATTTTTAATATAACAGCAACTGGATTCGTCTGAAAGAAGAAAGTCATATACACCTAGGATGCTTCGAGGGTGAGTAAAACAGTCTAATTTTCATTTTTGGGTGAACTAACCCTTTAGTTACTGCTCCTTGACAACAAATCATGTATATTTGTAATTAAACTGAGGTTGATGGTTACTGCAGGAATACTCAGATTTCCAGTACAGACGGAGACACAGGCAGAGGCGTAGAGGAGACCTTCTCAGACTGCACAGCCTTCGCAGTAACACCCCTGAACCACATGACTCCAATGACAACACTTTAGGTAAAGCTCCAGGCAGAGATAGTGACCCCACATAAAGTTAGGATAGACATAACTGAAAGAGCTGCTTTGTCGACGTTACAGAGTTTGAAATTTCTGTATGCGCAATTTGTGTCTACAGAAACACATGAGGGAGGCAATACATCAAGACATGGGATCGCCACGGTGAATATACTGTTTATATGTAAAGATTTTCTAACCTGATTAGGGCTGCAAAACGATTAATCGCATTCAAAATAAAAGTTTGTTTACATACTATATGTGTGCACATATATGTATATATTTTTTATTTTATATAATAAATATACACAGTACACACACATAGGATGTAAACATAAATGTTTATTTTGAATGTTATTAATCGTTTTGCAGCCCTAAACCTGATGCAGCGTTAATTTTTCAACAATTATTTGTTTTGGTCATATTTTTGTATTTTGAATAAAATAATTTAGTTACTATTTCATATATTTTCATTTTTGTCAAACTTACTATAAAATGGCATCTAAATTTAGTCAATGAAATTGCTAAATTAAACAAAATTTCATACATTTTCATAAATCAGAAAATATTTTATATGCTATTTAAACATGAAACGACATTTAAAAACATACACTGCCATTGAACATTTTGGGGTTGGTAGGATTTTTTGAATGTTTTTGGGAAAAAGTCTCACCAAGGCTGCATTTATTTGATCAAATGCATGGTAAAGCAGTATTATGAAATTTTACTACAATTTAAATAACTGTTTTCTATTTGAATATGTTTTAAAATGTATTTTATTCTTGTGATGGCAAAGATGAATTTTCAGCAGCCATTACTTTGGTCTTTAGTGTCACATGATCCTCCAGAAATCATTCTAGCATGCTGAAACATTTCTTATCATTGTTAAAAACTGTTGTGCTGCCTAATATTTTTGTGGAAACTGTGATGCATTTTCCCCCCCCAGAATTATTTGATAAATTGAAGGTTAAAAAGCAGCATTTATTTGATACATTATTAATGTCTTGATGATTTTTTTTTAATGCATCCTTGCTGAATAAAAGTAATAATTTATTTTTAAAAAAACTTATTGACCCCATACATTTGAATGGTATTGTAGCTTAAAAATGAGTCAAAGAGCATATATTGAGAATTTGAACCCTTTTTATCCCTCAGGAACTTGGGTCTCTGGATGAAGATGACCCCAATATTTTGTTGGCTATTCAGCTGTCCCTACAGGAGTCCGGGCTGGCCTTGGACCCCGAGTCTCAGGATGTGCTCAGTAACGATGCCTCTGTTGGTGCCAGTGGTTCCTCTCTGCCCTCTAGACTGGATTCTGCGCCCCATACTGCGGATCCCCCCCGAGCTTCCATGAGCAGCTCTGAGCTTCTGGAGCTGGGAGACAGCCTTATGAGACTGGGCAACATTACCAGCCACTATACACCCTTTAACATGAGTTCCTACCCTAATGCCTTGGGTAACGCCTTCACCCCTAGTGATCCAGACTGCCTGGACCCTTCCACCAATGCCAACCTGCTTGGCAACATTATGGCCTGGTTCCACGATATGAATCCACAGAGCATTGCACTGATTCCCTCAGCCGCTGCAAATGCCAGTCCTGAGCTACCTGTTTTTGGAGAGGGACAATCTGCCCCTCCAAAAAGCGAGGAGAATGAGGTGGGGAGTCCTGAGCAGCGTTCCCTATCGCTAATGAAAGAGAGCGCAGATGTGTTGGCATCGCAGCTTTTGGAGCTAGAATGTGTGGATGATGCACAACCTTCTAAAGCAGAGCCAGACTTGGAGGGTTCGAGTGGCAGTGTAGATCTCACTAGCGCAGTTTGTCCGGAGAGCAGTACTGATCGGGATCCGCAGGTAACCGACCTCTCCTTAGAGTGGGAGGAAGAAGTGCACCTAGTGTGAGGAACAAGTCTAATTATGTTTACCAACTGAGTGCTCTTATCGTGCCAAAACACAAAATAAAAGCAGAATTGCTTGTTAAGAAATGGAGAAGCGTGAACCAGGTGCATTGGTGTTAGACGGGACTTGTCTTAGTTGTGTGTTGCACCGCGTTTGGTGGAGCCTTTCCACTCTTCTGTCTTCACAAGAGGAGGCAGTCACGCGTGACGGCTGCCGCGGTAAACTAAGCTTTTTTATACCCGTCTAACAAAATACTAAATTAATTCAGCTGCACACACTTTTCTTATTTTTTCCACAACAAATGGCCAAGCAAGCGCAGACAATGACAAGATACGCGATACAGAACGAGACCAAACGCGATAGTGTCTCCACACGGTAAACAAAACAAGCGTTTCCTAGCAACGACAACTGCACTAGACACTAATGAGACAAGTAAATACACTTATTATCTGTGATCATTTCATTTACAATAACTGCTTTGGGTGCGAGTGATCTAATGTTTAGGAGCCCAAACTTTAAAAATAGTTTTTGTTCATTTATTTAAAATCACCAGGTCGCGGATCTGCTTCTCTACGGCCTCCACGATATATGGATGGGAGAGGTCAGGGTTTGGCTGATCAGTCAGATCCAATGATGATGAAATAGTCTGGTGCCTTTGAGGTCAGTGCTCAGGATAGTCACTAAATGTTTTGGTAATGTCTATATACTTGTGGTGCTATTTTGTGAACTACCTCTTAAAATACAGATGAGCAATTTCACAAGCAATTAAACATACTAGAGGAATCCGTAAAGCTGTAGAGACTGCATTTAGTGATCTCTTGTGAAGAAAAGAACAGAACCGGCAAAAACTGCATGTTGTAAACATACAAAATCAAATTAGCAGTGATTAAATTGTTTAATTTTTCACAGGGACCTACTGTGACTTGAAATAGCTGTAGCACACATTTACATTGTTAATTTATCTATAGCACACATTATTTTTAGATGTGTGCGCAAAACAGATCTTGACTATACATTTATTTAAATTTTCAGCTTCTTCAGTTTCACAGATGATATTAAATGTAGTTTTGATGTTAAAACTGACAGCAAGATGAGTGATGTGTGAGCTATCAAAACAAAAAGCTTATGTTTTATTAGGTAATCTGCTTCAGATTTCATTCATTAAAAGACAGAACAGAAGAAATGCAGCATTTTTAGTTGAGTAAAAGTAAGCAAATCCAAACCCAATTTTGTTCTGCACATGCACAGTACATGATATATCACTGATGTTTCATTATGTATCACTGATGTGAATTAATATTTCTTTTCACAAATAAACTTTTTCTGTTTTTTACAAGAAGCATCAAACCAAGATTGAAAGTTGCCATTCTCATCTCCCAGACTAGCACAGTTCTCTCCAGACGGATCCTGGTTTTTCCAGTTATCAGGTTCTCTTTGCCCCTCACTGAACCAGAACCTTTAAGAAACAAACAAGCAATAATATATTTGGTTAAAATAAACCAAGTAAAATGAGAATAAATAACTGGTGGTTTTGAAATACTAATACACACGTGTAATCCCTTTAAAAATATTAGAAAATTAAAAGTGGTCAAGCAACAAACTTTCCAAAAAAAATCACACATGCAGAGTTCTTACTGTACTCCAGTTTCAGTTAGAGTTTGGTTATTCACCCAAACCCAGTGTCCTTCAGTTTCCAGATCATTGAGGCCAGTCCAGTGCGTCTCTTTAATTTTAGAGACCAGAAAATCCTTATGGAGAATAAATACATAGGCAATAGTGTAAAACATTGTGTTCGCATAGGTAAAGGTATAAGTACGTAAGTAAATAAAAAAATAGATAAATAAATACTCTTAAAATAAACTTTCGTTTTTATGATCAAAACATAAATCATGTTGTAAAGTCGCTGTCATGAAACAGACGATGATGAGGTAGAGAACCCAAGTGCAGTTTGTTGATGACCCAAAAACACAAACTAAGAACTTAATCACATGGTAATCACGACAAACAACCAATGACAAAATGGGAATGCTAAACAAGATAACAAGTGACATGTGGCCAAGTGACTTATACTCGGAATTAGTGCTCTGCATTTATCCCATCCAAAGTGCACACACACAGCAGTGAACACACACACACACACACCGTGAACACCCGAAGCAGTGGGGAGCAGTTGGGGGTTCGGTTGCCTTGCTCAAGGGCACCTCAGTCGTGGTATTGAAGGTGGGAGAGAGCGCTGTATATTCACTCCCCCCACCTACAATCCCTGCCGGGACGAGACTCGAACCCACAATCTTTGGGTTATGAATCCGACTCTCTAAGCATTAGGCCACGACTTCCACGACAAGGCAAATGAACATGAACCAATGAGAGTCCAGAACTAATAACATAAAAGACCTGAACCGATCGATGTGACACCCATCAGCTGTAAGTCAAGTTATTCGTCTCATTACACTTGCATCAAGTACTAATTAATTCATAATTTATCTGACTTGCCTGTTCTGTTTGGTTGGTTATGGTGACCAGATCAGCTCCTTTTGAAACACAGACATCTCGACTGCTTGACCAGTTCAGTTTATCCGAGCTGAATAAATACAGCTTTCCACGACAAGCTATCCAGCCATCCACAGAGTGATTACAAGACTGATCTGTGATAAAATGATTAAAGTGTAATTAAACCTTCCATTATTTAGATCATAAGGTTAATCAAACTGGTTCCATGCAAACTGTCACTACTCACCATCGTAAAACGACAACCATTTTCTAAGTGTGTTGTATCTGGCTATAAGAATGAAGAACTCTTTCTTCATTACTGATGAAAAGATAATTAAAAAGAAGAAACAATTATTATTACTATTTACTAATTTAACTCAGACTGAGGCAGTTTTGACTGCTGAATTATCTCTCTCTCTCTCTCTCTCTCTGTATATACTGTATATATATACAAATTAATGGAAATGTCAACTCACCATCATGAAGTTGAAAGTGTTCTCTAAAGCCCCGTTCACACCAAGAACGATAACTATAACGATAACGATATTAGCGTCCACACCAGCGAACGATATCGTCTGTTTATTCTAAGCGCACGCTCGTCTGCCGCTTTAAATTCTCCAGCTCGTGATAGCAGGATGGATTCTGATTGGCTGTCAGTGATTTATCGTTCATCAGCAGGGGAAAAAATCGTTTTGAAAGTGCACACAACGATATCGTTCCTCTGTATCGTTATTGTTATAGTTGTGGCGTGAACTATGCAATTCTTTAATATTGAGAACGATTTTTAGAACTATATCTTTATCGTTATCTTTATAGTTATCGTGCTTGGTGTGAACGGTCCTTAACTCTTGTGTAATTGGCTTTACATTGCTCTAGCTCTCTAATCAGAACTTGGAAATAAATAAATACATAAATAAATAAAAAAATTGGCAAACAAATAGATAAAGTTACTCATAAACTACTGTAAATGAAACATGCTAATGCGCTACCATTAATGAAACCGTTTCCTCACTTGTGCCGTTGATCTCTTGAGCTGACAGTTGCTTTGAAATCATGATGTGCTGATTATTCAGTGACTCAAAATCAGCAAGCTTTTGATGATCTGATTAAAGACAAAATAGACTATTGGTAAATATTTGTTTTTGAGAAAAATCCATACCATGCACCTAAGACTAGAATTATCTACCAAAAAAAAAAAGTTTGAATGAATGGAGTTTGTAAGAGCTAAATTAATTGCAGTTAATATGGAGGTTAATATTGTTTTGCTTCAAAATAACTAACGAAAGCAAGCTTATTAAAAAAACAAACATCTGAACATAGCCTACATATCAGCTTGATAAGACCTACCTAAAATTACAACAACAACAAAATAAAAACAAAGCAAACAAACAAACAAACAAAACATATGTGGGATATATTTTCTGAAGTCTAATGAAATGTTTTTGTATTTTTCCCCAGTTTGGCTCACGTCCACTTCGTTTATCGGAGAGAGTGGGCTTTATGACCTATACTGCAGCTAGCCATTAGGCGGCGATCAAAATATTTTGTCTCTCTCTCTCTCAGGTAACTTTCCACATGCATGCAGAGTACAATTGACCATCTGCACGGAGCGCTATTTAGAACTTCCGATAAAGATAAGCCAGCTCGTAATCTTCTGGTGAAGCTCATTTTATATGTGCTATATATAGGTAGAGACTCTCACAGAAACCTCTCCTGCCTCATTTTTATCAGAAACTGAGAAACAAAATTATTGCAACCCCGTAAATAATGATAGCGGAATTAACATACAGTTTCATGTTATTAAAGAACATATCATTTTATATGCAGAGTCTGGTAATCCCA